TCTCCTTTCACGAACTCTCTCACCATCAGTCAGTGGGAATTATTGTAGTGTTCTTTAGGGCATATGAAGATAATTTTTCAACAAACTACCACTGGGAAAAGTACTGAGAAGAAGGAAAAACTGAATTATAGAGCGCTCTACCAAAGGAAGGGAGCAGCCAAGTCCACTTCCCAAACTGAAGTGTAGAAAGGCTCTTCCTGCTGCTTGTGTACTCTGTTTTAGGGCAGAAGGAAAACATCTGTCTCAATCCCCCTCCTATAAACTACCTTGAAAAATCAATGCTAAAATCTGTAGAAAGGGAAACTTTTAATTGGAAGGATGTCGGTCAAATGAGTGACAGTACAAGCCACTTCAGTGGATTTCAGCCCCCCAAGTAAGACATTACAGTTGATAATAAATAATAAGCCTAATAAATTGTTCAGTATATAACTTTAATCATAGCTATGAAAGAAAAATAAATTCTCCATACTGAGTATGCCTTTTATCACTTTACTTACAGCTACTCTAAATTAGCTACATAAAACTTTATTTTAGTTGCACAACTCTAGGTGTGATTAACTCTTTCACAGCAATATGCAGAGAAACAGGTAAATTTGTAAATACATGTAGGATGCAGCAGTTTAATTCTCTCCAATACATACATGTCATAGAAAAACAGCAAAATGCAGGCATGAAAAATGGAACTTCGACTGCAAATTCCATCAATTTTCAAAATGGATTTTCTCCAGAAGAAAACTCTATCACCACCCTGGCTGAAGTCTCACAGGAATCTTTGGATGCTTTCATGATAGTGAAAGCCAAAGTGAAAAAACGGATAAATTTTTTCAACATCGCATTTTATGCCTAATCCCAATTTAATCCCTGTTTTGAACTCTACCATAATGCAGATCGTTGCTTTGCTGTACTCTGCATATGCCAGGTCAAACACTAAGAGCCACAGAAAAGAAACATGCCAGTGATTAAAGAAACCAGTTAGTGTCACATTATTAGTTAGCGTGTTTTCTGCTAGAGCTAGGAAATCATTTACAGTTCTTTCTAAAGATCAGCCATTTATCTTCAGGCAACTAAAGATTAAAGACTTCATCAGTAATTATCACAAATGGTGCCCTCAGCACACTGATTAAAGATACTTGTCATTATACCTTATAAGGAACAGTACATCAACTCTTACTATTTCAGAATAATTATGTGGTGGACATCTGCTGGAGTTCCAATCACAACTAGTCACCATTTGCATAAGCAAGACACTGAAGGACTCCCGCTCCTTTAAAACCACACATTACAAATGCACACCAAGGCATGAGAGATGCTTTTCATATCTGGCCCACTCCAAAAAAACAGAAGCCTGAGACCAAAAGAAAGTGGTTTAAATTTAAATTTAAAATCCAACTCCTGGCTCTGCACAGATCAACCCAAAAGTTTAGACCATGTGACTAAGTGCACAGTCTAATTGCTTCTTAAATACAGACAGGCTTGGTGCAGTGACTAAGGGGAAGGTGACTTGGACATGTGTGGAAGGTTTCAAAAACAAAATAAAACAAAAAACAACAAAACAAATCAAACAACAACAACAAACACTAAGGCTTAAACAGGTTCAATCATTATAACTTCTCTGTTGAGATGAGCGAGGAGGAAACTGTCACTGGTGTTCAGAAGTCAGTTGTGGGGAGCTAGGGAAACTGCACACATACAGACCAGAACTGCTCGCATTTAATTAGTCTCTTCCCTGAGAAGCTGGAAGTGCAGATTGAGAAGCCTTCACGATCTATCACAAAGCAGTGGCACCTAAGCAGCCTGAATGCAGAAGATTAAGACAGTAAGTGGCAAGAGGAGCTGATGATTGATACGAACTTTCTTTAGAAATGAAGGCAGTAACTTGCACTTTCAATAAGGAAAAAGCAAACTGAGTACATAAACTAGCTGAGAACTTGTACAGTCAGTCTATGGACCTATAAAGAAAATTAGCTCTCTGATGGATCCACATGTTTTATGAGGAACAAAGAGGTAAAATAGGTTGTATGACCTAGAGATTATATGTCAAAGTAAGAGTCCTCTATTTCATACTCAAGAGACACTTGGAAAACATGACTTAGAAGTGTTAACATCAGATTTTAGTATAATTCATTCTTTTCTGGGGGCTTGACTGTAATGTAAATTTAGCTGCTACTCTACTGAAGCTAAATGTTCATATCCTGTCTGAACCATGCCTCTAGTCATCTGCTGAGTATGATAACACTAATAAAGAGAAAGCTTACTTTTGTGAGCAAGTCTGCTTCGTGATATTGGAGAGTTTATGGAACCTATGAAATTGGATAAATTGCTGAGTTAGTGAGTGCTCCAGAGATACTGAAACACCCACTTGCTGTGGTTTTAAACTATGGAGCTCCTAGACCTAGGAAGAGGACACAAAAGGAATGATTTAGGGTTCCTATCCATTACGAGCTTCCACTCAAATGGAAGCATTCTGGAATAATAATCAGTATGCAAATGAGGGAAAAAAAAAAAAAAAAAAAAAAGCTCTTTTCAGTTTACTCACAGTAGGTAAACCTAAAATAATGGAATGTTACCATTGTTTCCAGTGTTTCAGGAAACTGAACCAGGCATCACATAGAAGACAGTTAGCCAGGAGATGCTATAACCATGTATATAACATGTATATAACCATCAGAAACTTTGCAGAGATGAAATACAAAACAAACCAAATACAAACAAACAAAAAAAAAAAAACAAAAAACAACAACAACAACAACAAAAGAGGATAGACCAAAATAAACTGCTTTACAGCATTATATGACATATATATGACTACATAGTAATATGACTACAGAATTATATGAAGTGTATTAACACTCATTTTTTCCGTGCCCTGCTGCCCAGTGAAGCCTTAGAAGATGAGATATGTTGATGGTTCTAGACCAGACTTTAACTGGTTGCATCAAACCAAAGTTGCTTACAAATAAAAAGTGTGGTGGTATAACTTGAGTTAAGGTATTTACCAATTACTGATTTGGACACACAATAGACAAGGTCTGACCAAAAATATACAAAGAGGAGTAGAGAGTTCTGGGGGTTTTGTGTAATGAAAAGGGTGGAATCTATTCTAATCTCCACTGAAGGTGACTACATAATTCCTGAAAGATGGACAAGTCTACAATCCAGTTAAAATTATCTTTAACAAACACATTCAAACAACCTGGAAAGAAATCTTTGCAGTTGTTCAGAGAAGTAAACTGGACCGAGTATAAAGTGTTGCAACACAGCACAAAACAAAATTACTTCTCTTCCTGTAATTAGTTATGTTTAATATAAACTTCAACATAAAATAGCAGTTAGTCAAAATGCCCTCAGTTGATGTTAGGCTTACCTCCACAGCAGTTCCCTTTCTAGATCCTAATTTGTATTTTTTACATGAACGAAGAGAAGTAGTCTTCATTCATTATCATGCATCAAATATAGTATGTGCAAAAAGGCCATCACGGTCTATTACATTAAAATGCTCAGATCAAGAACAGTTGTCTCTCTCTCCATATACATGTTTCTCAGGCTAAGCAAACACACATCTGACCATGCGGAGGTGGAGTGTACAACATTATATTTCTGATTGTTCAGTGTGACGTTCAGATGACCTGCAGTGAAGCAGAGTGCTAAAGCTGGTTCATGATACAGTATTTTCACTTTAGCATTTAATAGGTCACCTGCTAGGATAATAATTGTGCTGCCATTTAAAAATAAATAAATAAAGGTCTCTAGTCAAAGAAGATTAGTCAATGGAGATGGACAGAAAATAAGTTTTGCAGCCAAGGAAAATATTTGGGAAGAAAATAAAGTTTCCTAATCAACAATAGACTAGGATTTTTCCATGGAGACTGGAATAAAAAATGGGAGTGGTGTGTTAGTTTTCCCATTTATCATCTTAAAAAATAGATTTGACAAGAGGATAATGAAAAGTAGGAACCATGCTCCAAAGTATCTCTCTTGTATGATGTACTGAGACATACAGTGATAAACACTTGAATCAGTTATTTAAAGCCATGTGATGGGAACGTTTACCAGAGAGACATAGGTTGAGGTCAATTTGTTTGCCAACAGCATAATGTGACCCAACAGCTCAGATGGCAGCCTCAGGCCAAACATTCTCTCAGTCTGTTCTGACAGTTCTCCACCAACTGCCTTAGGCTAGCACGTTTTTAATACTTATGTAGAAGAGAACAGCTCTGACAGGAAAGTTTGAGGGAAGTTGAGGGCAGCATGTTAATCAGAATCTTTGAATCAGGGTTTCCCAACAATGTGATGATTCCAGTGTTCTAGGTTGAGTTTCTAGATCTGATATTTCTAGATCTGAGGAAATATTTCTGACCAAAATAAATAAATAAATAACAAAAGAAACACCCCAAAGCTAGCACTTTCCTCCAATCAAAATCCAATTATTCATTATTTTCCAAACAAGCAACTTTGTACTAAAAATTGCACAACAAGCTCTGCTCATCCCCTGCAGTAAGTAGTAAGATCAAAGGCAAACACTAACTAAGAAATCTGCCTTGAGTAAGGCAGTGTACATAACATCCCTTCAGCAACATACACAGTACTCATTCCTTGATATTTCAGACATAAACCCTTCCAGGTTTCCTTCCTGATGCCAGCTTTGACCTGCTGCTAATTACAGCATCCTTAATAATGACTCAATTCCTCTGCCTGGAAAGCAAGGATCTTTTACTGAATTTCACCCTAAAGCAGACATCTAGTTAAGTGAATTCAACCTTATAAGTCCATTGTTTATCAGGGGAATATCCACACATCCCGAATTTTTCTGAGATGGTTGGTATAGGTGGGGTCTGAACATGCACAAATTGTGTATCCAAGTGCCAGGTAGTTCATACAGAAATGTTTGAAGGGTTCTTCTTTAAAGAAACTCTCTGTACTAGAGACAAACATTCTTCCAAGATAACACAGATGTTGTGTGACCAAATGGAAGTGAGGTATTATGGTCCCCCCCTCCTTACCTCTGATGAAGTAGGTTTGCAGTAGCCAGCTCCAAACACTAGATTTTCTAATGACATACTGGACTGGTCTGGTCCCGCATCCAGGTTGCCTTTACCAAGCCATGATCCTTTCCCTGGACGAGCAAAACTAAAAGAAGAAGAAATGAGAATAAAAATAATCAGAGCAGTAATGTTACAGAAGAATCTTTTCCTTCCTAATGCAGGTATTTATTTGTGGTTTGCGGTATTTATTTGTTTATTTATTTCAAGCTGACACCATAAGCCCAGACACCATGTTTCCCTCATTAAATGAACATTGTCCAGTATGTACTGGCTAAAATTATGTGAATGGAGCCTTATTTCTTGGCATTCAGTCCAATTGCTTGGGTGTTATCCTCAGTCCTTCCTTTGTTGTCTTACAGATCTTTTTCCAGACTAACATATCAACAACACAAACTTTCCATCTACATAGATAACACTCTCATCCAACTTCTCATCAGCTTGCATCTTGATCGATAAGGCAACTTTCTCTTTGGCTTTAACCATATCACCCTTCCTGTTTGAATTATCCATTATCTATGTTAATTATCAATATCCTTTATAGCTCATCCAAATCTTTTAGTACTAATTGGAAGCTCAGGTCCCAGTTCTCACTGTCCCAGGGCATCAACCTCTAGAATTATAATGAAAAACAAACAAACAAACAAACAAACCTGCATTTCTTTTTACTGGGAGCAGTTTGTTTTCTTGGACATGTTCTCCCATACCCATATGAAATGTAATTCTTATTCAAACCTTCCTCAGAATCCTGACAGGATTTAAGTTGTTTTACTGTTGAGGTCATTACCTCTCAGTGCTGACTCATGGCTACAGTGTTCCCTTCTGACCATATCTGCATGTTTCCTGTCTTATAGGATGAACCCCTTAATAGTGGAACACCTTTATTGGGCCTATTCAGCCTTGAACCCACCAGAATCATGATTCATAGCTAGGGATCTTATTTGGGATTAATCTGACCCAATGTCCACATCCTCATTAATGATGTAGGCTGCCTTTATAGTTTCTGAAGAGGAATAGACATATCCAGGGGGTGAGTCATCTCCTTCTAAAGTAGTCGTATCAAATAGGTCAGATGAATCTCACCCTCGAAGTGCTACTTCTAATTGTGGACTATAAAGGGAGGCAAGGATGACTGTCTCATAAACAACTAAGGTTAGGTGAGATAAACTCCACTATTAGTCCCTGTGATAATGTGCTGCACATAAACTTTATCAAGATTTAGAGAGAGAAACCAGGCTATTTGTGGAGAATACAGTGAGTGAAATTACTGAGTCTAAATACTAATGCAGGCAATTATAATAGTTCTTAAAAAAAAGCATGCAAACAAAAGTGGAAATGAAATAATGAACTGCACAGAAAAACCAAAAAAATCCACCAAATTTGCTGTTCTTAATCAATGCAGAGGTAATGCCACTGAGTTTGTGCTATAGCTTTCAGGCTGGGATCACCATCCACTGTGAGATGTTGTACCGCAGCCAGCTATCCCAAATAACTCCTGTTCAGGAGACCTGTTGTCCTTGGAAGAACAAAAGCTTCCAAGATAGGGAACACACAAACACACACAAATTAAAACCATAAAGTGCCAGTAACAAAGGCTATAGGGCAGTGTTACTCATCCTGCCAGAACTTCCCAGCCTTATTCCCCTATGTCGATGTGTATCATGTGGCCATGTCAATTCAGATCAGCCATACTTCATGCAGTTCTACAGCTTTTTTCAGTTTTAATGATAGATGCGAGTGTTGGCTGTTGTACAGAAACACAACAAATTAAAGGTGTCTTATGGTAAGGACACAAAACAAAAGACAGGTACAGGAATACTTCCTATGACTTAGTAAAAAATGAGGTTTTGAAAAGAAGGGAAACTCAGTAACTTTTGGAAGAACAGAAAATTAATATCAAGCAAAATCAGGAACTGAAATTTTTCAGGTTGATCACAAATCCCTGCTTCCTCTCTAAGTCAAAACTGCTATTTTTTTATATATCCTCAGGCATTCATATACTGACAAAAAGAACATCTCATAAGGGAGAGGATGGTGTAGAAAGCTTTTGCATATATCTGAGCTTGTTTATGTATATTAATTGATGTGATCCAAGAAATTTCCAGTTGGCTGCTTTTAAGCAGCAGGAAGTCTTCCCATGTTATTTCCTACATGCTAAATTTAAGGCACAAATAAATAAATAAACTAAAGCAATTATGAAGAGCCAAGAGATAAATGCTGCTCAGAATAATTTCAGCTGTTATTGGGTGATGTTGTCTGCCCTGGTCTATTGGAAAGGCTCAGGAAGCAGAAATAAAAAATGATTGCTGTGGTATCAGAGAGAAGCTTAAACAAATGTCGCCTGCCCATGAAAAACTCATCATTTGAATATTCGCAAAGCTTTCAAAGGTTTTAAGGGAGAGAAAAGCACTTTTTAATGCCTTTTTTATTTATTTATCTTTTGCTTTTACAGCAGAGAAGGGATTTTAATCTGTTGGTTTTATGGAAATTGATCCCACATAGCACTGTAAAACAAAAACCGTTTTTGGGAAACCTGCCAAAATGTCATCTGTCTGTTGAGGAAAAGTTTAACTGGAAGGCTTACAGATTGTTGAGGTTCCCCTAATGCCTTTTGAAGCACATAATTATAGAATCATAGAAAATACTGAGTTGGAAGGGACCCAACAAGGACCATAAAGTCCAACTTATCACTCCACACAGGATCACCCAAAAATCAGACCATGTGTCTTGACAGCACTGTGCAAACACTTCCTGAGCTCCAGCAGGCTCAGTGCTATTATCACTACCCTGGGGTGCCTGATCACCTCATGGGTGCAGAACCTTTCCCTAACACCCGGCCTGACTCTCCCCTGTCCCAGCTCCATGCCATTCCCTCGGGTCCTGTCGCTGTCCCCAGAGAGCAGAGCTCAGCGCCTGCCCCTCTGCTCCCCTCATGAGGAAGCTGTAGAGCAAGACCTTGGGGCCCAAATGGGGGGGGGTTGGGGTTGTACTGAAAAAAAAAAAAAAAGAAAAAAAAAAAAAAAAAGAAGTCTTGGCATCCTAAAATGATATTTTGGATTCTGAAATGAGAACTTGAACCCTGAAAAGAGGCTGCAGGTCCTTAAAGGAGGCTTTGAGCCCTCAAAATGCGGGTTTGTACTGAAAAGGAGGCACTGAGTCCAAAAAACTTGAGGACAATTTTAATTAGCAATAAAAAGCAGGTTCTTTTAATATTTTGCTTACTGTATTTATTATTTTTTTCCATTTATTCCAGAAACCATGCTCATTTGTATGAATATTGAACCCTGGTTATTTATGCGTCCTTTTGAACCGTCTACTTAATAGAACTAATCTAACATCAACATTTAGAACCTCATCCTATATGCTAACCTTAGCTTTTATTCAGTCAGGATAAAGAAGTCAAGGAGTTCATGTGTGTATGTCAAAGTAAATGAACATGTGTGCAGCACTATTATTTTCAGTGAAAGAAACAATTTATTTTAGCTTTTGTTGAACTGTTCGTTTGATGATTTTAATAATGAGATATCTTTATCCATCAGAAGAGTCTCACAGCTCCTTCAGCAGCTATCTATGGACACATATAATAATGAACTGTCCTCGAAAAACCCCGTTTTTCCAGTAGTATAACCTGCCAGCTAATAGCAATCAAAATTTAAGAACTTTCTGACTCAGAGGTTATATTTAGGCAACTATTTCCAGCAGTCATGGTTATCTTCCATGAATTTGTGTCCATGCCTTTTTGATTTTTACTTTTGACCTCTGTAATAACTTTTTGGAATTAATTGCACATTGTAATATGTGCTGCGCTTCATGCTTGTTTTGACCTGCTGTTGCAGAATTGAATATGGTACCTTTTAGTTCTTGCACCGCACAAAATGTTAAATTCCCTAGTTTTTATCTTCTGTGGACAATTCTTTAACATATAAATGAGATGACAGTTCCCTAGCACAAGGAATGGATTGTCATTGATAAATATTAATTAGATGTGTTATTGAAGAAATTCAGAATAAATGCTTTAGGACATTTTAATAAAATAAAATATATTATTTGACATTAAAATGCTCCCCAAATGAAATAACTTTAATTTTATTTTTTCTTTTATTCACATTTAATTTTTCATTCATTATTTTAAAGATGAAGACTTTTTTTTTCTCTCGGTAAGCAAAATTTAAATGCTTCACAACTTGTAATTTTCAGCAGAATGGGAAAAAAGTTATCTGTTATCAGATTTGAGTCTGAATGTTCACAAAAAAAGATTATCATGCATATGAATTAGTAAAACTGTAACAAACAAGCACCCTCACATTTACAATTACAAGAAATTATAGTCTTATGTTTGAACCAGAGTGGAAGCTCACGACGGGAAATTGCATCCCATTTAGGCCACATTCTATAAAAAAAAATCACTCTGTCTTTTTCCCTGAGTCTCTTATGGATAAAATATCACTGATTTCAAAAATGAAAACTATAAGCAAGTTCCATAGTGGTAACAATATATCAAACACTAACATAACTACATCTTCCACTGGCAGCACCACTTTGCATTTCACCACAAACTTCTGCTTCCCACAGACAGGAAAATATACATTGCACAACACCAATTTCCCTTACTGTTTTAACTCAACACATTAATATAGCAAATTATTTGTGGCAAATTACTGCTGGCATACAGCCATAGAATACATGGGTGATCTGTTATTTGTTTTGTGAGAATAACAGTTGGATATTTGCAGGCTGTGCTCACCTAGCTATCTTACACAAGAAGTTTCACTAAGGTTATAATGAGTGACTGTAGAATATTCTGACATTCTTGGGTAAGACTGTTAAGAAATATTAAAATCACATTAGTAATGGATACAGATATTTGTCCCTGGATCCCAAACAGAGTCAGGGTGCAAACTGGTTTGAAACCTGTAGTGATTTTGATTGCTGGAAAATGCTGGTTCAGTTGCCCTGAACCTAACTTTAGTTGCTATAAAACTTGAAATCAGGCAAAGTCAGGTGGTGATATTTATTTATGTGGCTTCGTTTAGTTTACTTTAGTTTTGTTTTAATGAAAGCTTGACTCGAAAATAGTCAGGTGTTTTCCTTAAATGACTTCTTGGCTGGTAGCTCAAGAGGATGGCATGTCAAAGTGGAAGTTTCTCTTTGCAGATGCATAATAAATAGTAACAAATAAAACAAAATTCAGAGGAACAATTGTGCAGCTATTATGCAAGAATTCTTAGAGAAAAAAAATATGAAATTATTATTTAATAAACAAGTTATGGAAGCAATAGCTCTCTCCTGGATAAATATTCAATTTTCTTTCTACAGATTACTGGAAAAGTAAGTCATGACCTTTGCTACCCAGGATTACATCTGTTTCAGATATAAGCTGCCCATAAGTAGGTGCCAGCTACACTCACAATTGTAGAAATATTGACCTGCATAGTCTGCACCCAGAATTGAGGTGCACAGGGTAGAACAGTATGTATATCACACAGATATATCAGTTATGGTGCTTCGAAGGAACAGGGGGATGCCTGAGAATAAAAGGTTGTAGTCATGATAAAATTACTCAAGGATGGCCAGGGTTGGCCTGATTCCTCAGTGCAGTGGAGCACAGCTGAATTAGGTCAGGGCTGAAACCTTTAAATACTCAATGTCCCTTTGATTATGCTTCCTCTTGCCACAGCAGAGCAAGCTCAGGGCACTACAAAATTCAGTATCTGCATCGTGGTTTCATTGCTTGCAAAAGGGGTACTATATTGTTTCCCCATCTCAGATGCCACCATGAAGATTTACTGTTTCTTATTCAGTGATTTGGATATGGGAAAAAAAAAGATTTTAATGTTAACAAGTCACAACTCTGAAGTCTACATTGCTTTCCGCATAGATGTAGGTGTGAAACTGGGGGAGAGGATAAAAATTGAGGAGAATCCAAACAGCTGAGGAAATTAAATCCTTTTCTTATGCAAACAAGAGAAATCAGGTTTGCCAGCTGCCTGTGAAGGAGGTACTCGCTTATTTGCAGCATTCTCAAATCTTGACTTTTTATTTTTTTTTCATTCAGATTGAAAATGTTTTCAGCTAAAGCCCAAGAGCCACAGAAAATAACACTGCAGATGCTGCGGCCATCAAGTGAGCTGATCCTTAGACAAAGCATGGCTTTGGGGAGACCCAATCTGTACAGATAGTACCAGTCTGGTGGTGAAACGCAGCACTTAAATTTCCCAAAAGCTTTCAAGGGAAGAAAGTACAAATCATGTGATGTCCCTGGATAAACTTGCAGCAGAAGTGACAGTCTGATCCTACTGGCCATGCTGCTTAAAAGGAAATAGAACATGTAGGGCATTTTTATATATATACTTATAAACAATAATTTATGCACTCTTGGGAAGGAGTGGCCAAAAGGTCTATGAAATTAATGATGCACATAACCATGCTTCTTGCTATTTGTTTCTTACAGAAGTCCAGTATAAGAAAGAAACTGATCATGCAGCATGCCTGAAACTAAGTAGATCTGCACACCACAGAGATGGATGTGTCCCAAGGAAAGAAGAAATATTTACTGAGGTCTGAACAAAGCTGGAGCAAAGTTCTTTTTCTAAGTACTGATGCTGTGCTAAACTGTTCGTTTCATTTATAAACGGGGCCAGTTGCAAAGCCAACGACAGCGAGCTAAAGGAAAAGTCAATGTCTCAGGCCAGAAACCTAACTGATATATACAAAAGACAAAACAGAAAACTGGTGTCCAAACTGGGAGATCCTCCTCACCTTTCTTCTCCAACTGCCTTGTCTAATTTAGGTCCTCTGGACTCACTCCATGTCCCTCGTGTACTGGGGAGCCCAGAACTGGACACAGTACTATAGGTGTGGCCTCGCCAGGGCTGAGTAGAGGGGGAGGATCACCTCCCTTGACCTGCTGGCAACAATCTTCTGAATGCACGCAAGGATACTGAGCCAGGGCAGGTTGCTGGCTCATGGGCTGGCTGCTGGCCACCAGGACTCCAAGGTCCCTCTGCAGAGCTACTTTCAGGCAGGTTACCTCCTGACCTGTATGGGTGTTTGGGGTTGTTCCTTGGGGTGAAGGATCCTGAATTTGCCTTTGTTGAACTTCATGGGTTTCCTTACCAGCCAACTCTCCAGCCTATCCCTTATTATTGCACCCCTGCCTGGAAATACAAAAATTTGGACTCAGCCTCCAGTGGTCCAGCTTCCCTAGCTGCTTGTGGGGTGCTTTTTTGAAAAGTCAAAGGACCCTAAATGTCAAAGTGGGAATTTTTAACCAAGCTCTAGCTTGGTGCTCTGTAAGGAGAAGTCAAAGCTACCCAGCTCTTTCTCTGCTGCTCAGCAGCAGCATCTCAAAGCGATAAAGCTGTCCAGAGAGCCAAGAGAGGAATTGAAGACCAAGACAATCCCACTTTGTTCCTCATCATCCCATACCTGGAACAAATACGATTTCTGGGGGGATTACAGGGTTGAATTGACTCTAGTTCTGCCTCATCAACTTTTTATCCAGGCTCTCACCTCCTTAGGAAATGCATAAAGCCATTAGCATTTGCCACAAATAAGGACCCCATTACAAAGCTGAAGGGTATGATCATTGGAAAAGCTGATTCACAAAATTTCCATGCAGGGTCCTAAAAAGAATTCCATAATCCAGAATTTCACTTTTTCTCAGTTCTGTAAGAAGTGAAGGGTTCGAAGTACCAAATCTAATATTTACAGTATAGGAATTATTAACCAGGACAGACACTGATAGCAAAATTTTAATTTTCAAAAACATAAAATAAAAAAAATAAATAGGAGTAAATGGAGGCATGCTGGCAAGTTTTGCGCTGTGGGAGCTTTTTGAAGGTGAATATTACCCAGCAGGGAAGGGCCTGAATCGATCCTGCTGTTTTCCCTACGGGTTGCTCTGTTCAAATACAGGCAACACGGAAGAACTTTGGAGAAGAATGTATAATTTGCCAACAGATCTAATAAAATATGAAAAGCTGAGTCCACAGGGGATATGTGATCAGATATCTGTGTTTCAGGCAAAGTTGTTTTCCAGGACAACTTCAAGACAGAAGTAAATTTCAACTTCACATAATTTGTGAACTTTATAGAGCATGTCTAGAATTTTTATCTTAGATATAAGTGTACAAATATGTGTAGAAATAAACCATAGAATGGCTTAGGTTGGAAGGGACCTTAAAGATCATATTAATCTAACCCCCCTGCCATAGACAGGGATACCACCCACTACATCAGATTAGCCAAGGCCCCATCCTTGAACACCTGTAGGGATGGGGCATCCACAGATTCTCTGGGAAACCTGTGCCAGTGCCTCACCACACAGTGAAGAATTTTCTTCTAAAGTCTAATCTAAATCTTCTCTCTTTTAGTTTAAAACCATTCCTCCTTGTCCTATCATCTATCTGAGTAAGCAGTCCTTCTCCATCTTTTTTATAAGTCCCTTTTACTGAAAAGTTGAAATGAGGTCTACCCAGAGCCTTCTCTTCTCCAGGCTGAACAGCCCCAGCTCTCTCAGCCTTTCTTCAGAGGAGAGGTGCTCCAGCCCTCTGAGCATCTTTGTAGCCCTCCTCTGGACCCACTCTAACTGATCAACATTTATTGAGCCAATTCCTTATCCACCAGATGGTCCACCCTTCAAATCCATATCTTTTCAATTTAGAGACAAGGATGCTGTGTGGGACTGTGTCAAAGGCCTTACAGAAGTCCAAGTAGATGACATTGGTTGGTCTTCTCTTGTTGACTGAAGGCCATCAGATTGGTCAGGCATGATTTGCCCTTGCTGAAGCCATGCTGGTTGCCTCAAATCACCTCCTTGTCCTGCCAGTGCCTTGATACTGCTTCCAAGAGGATCCATTCCATGATAATACCAGGCACAGAGGAGACATTTATTGGTCTGTAGTTCCCCAGGTCTTCCTCTCTTCCATTTTTAAAAATAGGAGTGATGTTTCCCTTTTTCCAGTCACTGGGGACTTCACCTGACTGTTACACTTTTTCAGTTATGATGAAATTCATTTATGTAGGAGCTTGGCTACTACATCAGCCAATTCCCTCAGGACCCTGGGATGCATGTCATAAAAGCCTATAGACTTGTAGAAATTAAGTTGTGTCAGGACATCTTGAACTTGCTCTTCACTTACAGTGGGAGGGACTCTGCACACCCATCTAGAGGTTTGGAGACTCAAGAGATGTGGGAAGCCTGATCACCAGTGAAGACCAAAGCAAAGAAGTTGTTAAGTACTTCTTAATTTTCCTCGCCTGTTTTTACCAGTTTTCTTCATTTTTCACAGGCAGTACGCTCACCTTAGTCTTTTTTTTTTTTTTTGTGGCCAATGTACCCGTAGAACCCCTTCTTGTTATTCTTTGTATCCCTCACCAAGTTTAGTTCTGTCAGTGCCCTGGCTTTCCTGATCCCATCCCTGCACATCCAGACAGTGTTTCTGTACTCTTCCAGGGCACATGGCCCTTGAATGTACATATATATATAAAATACATAGACAACAGGATGGTTTAAGTTGGCAACGTAAAACATAGTATATATGTATATATTTCCCACCTAATGTAACACTCATGCATTTATTTTATTTATTTATTTATTTTTACAATGTGTCAGAAAGGCTTTCTGATCATTTGGGCTCTGTTGTGCTACAAAATAAAGATGTGCTTTTACATTTTTTTCATGTTCCCAGTAAATCCCATTGACCAGTGCTAAACAAGTAATCTCTGAGATGAGAGAAAAGCAAGTAGGTTTTTGTGGGTTGGTTTTGTTTCAGGATGTTTGGCACTGACATTTCTTTTATACTGTTCACCTTGGTTTATATTTAGAGAACACATGATACTCTTCGGGTTTTGAAAATTTAACAAGACACTTCAAAATGATTTTACTGGCTTAAGAAAATGAAACTCTGCATTGTGTTGTCAAAAATCTTCATTTTGTTGCACTAAGTAAAAATATTGTATATTTCATAAATGTCCACAAAATCATATTTTGAAAGCTATAATAATCTGGAACAGTTGCTCATTATGCAATTTATGTGTAATAGCAGTAACAACTCTCTGAAACCCCATTCATTAGAGGATAACAAAGCACTGAAAACAGTCATTAAGCCTGATAACTATTGCTCTTCCACCCTTTTGTATAGTAGAACAATGGATAAATTATCTGAGCAGAAAGATCTGGTTAGGAGTAGTCTGCTACAATTTAATTCACTATTTTAAAAATCTACATAGCAGGAAAGTCACAACAGCAGTTACCTGCATCTCAGTGGAGGAAGAAAAGACAGATTTTGCAGTCTGAGGTACTAATAAACTCACATCTCTGTCACTACTCAAACTCTTACAATCTTAATTCATTGAATGGCACCATACATTTATACAAATGAAGAACTGAAGAAAAGATATATTAAGTCAAAATAGGAAATCTAAGAAAAGAAGAGAGTCTAGAGAATTGTCTTTTCTTTCTCACACAGTGGTTGTCACTCAGTATTTGTCAAACTCAATGTAGGCTTGGTAAACAGCAAGGCCTTGCCAGAGTAAAAGGGTCTGAACAACACTGAACACTGCATTTTGTTCCAGGACCCAAGGAGTTCCCTCCCTTTCAGCACTCTTTATCTCATGTGATGACAAGATTGGACAGAAAGTAAATTACCAGAAAGACCTTTGCTTCCCCTTGCCTGTTCTAAATATTAGAGGATATTGACCTCCAGTCCTGTTTTATTTGAAGGAGTTCTGAATTATTTTCATGTCCTTACGAATCAGATAACATAAATCACACCTAGGCCCCATGGCAGTTAGTATTACACTGCTCCATGGTTAAATCAGATGATGCTACAAGGGAAAAAATCAACAGAGGCTTATCCAGTATTGACTCATGCATGCTTCCTTCCAGCCATGTTATGAATTATGCTAATACCCAGAGGTCAGAAATGAGATTAGAGACCTACTGTCTAAAATGCTTTACAAAACAACAGAAAAAAATATATATTAATGTTCTTATGTGCTTTTGGACTAAAGATGAAAGACAGACAAGGAGGAGGCAAGAAATTTCACCATTCTCTTGTTACAGATGGGGACTAGAGAGATCAAGTCTCCCTGAAATTCTGCAGACTGCTGTTTTTTGGTCAGGCCCTTAGTGTCTTATCAAAGAAAGGAACCTGTGTCAGAGGCTGGATCCAGTCTCCAGAATCCTAGCCCATAACAAAAAAAAAAACAACTGAAATTAAATTATGATCTCTGCTTCTCTTATACAATAAGGAAATGTATTCAGAAGAGGGATCTCCTCTGCCTTTCATGAGACATTTCTGTGTCCTTTACCTGATCAGAGGCTGGTGTAATGCTACCAGTGACGCATGCACAGTGACGGATATCACTGACAGGTGAAAATAGTCAAACATGACAGGAACATGGTGGTGCAGACCTCTCCGGGGGTGGAAGTGAAGACACAGTGTACGGCTGCTGATCATGGGAATGGCTGGAACATCTCTCAGCCTGGAAGAGAAAGAGGTTTACAAGGATTAGTGAAAGCTTGAGTTGTCACAGCCTATAACGTGATACAAGCAGCAGTCTGGGAGGTGGCTTGAGCTGAATTTTTATCACTGCCTGGTAACATTCACAGCTTCAAGAGAGCTTACATAACTGATGAGTATCTTGAATTGTACTTATGTCTAGTGTAAATACAAATATAATAAATATAAATAATAAGTAAAAATATAATGAACAAAAGAGATATATACTGCAGATCCAATTTCCCTTTGTGATCACCCTTGTTGTCTACCTATATACTAGTTCTGGAATCAACAAGAACTAATAAATAACCAAGTGATATGCAGTTAGCAAAGTGCTCAGCTTGCTTGAATGTTCATAGCTAGAAAAGATCACTAATTGTGATTTTTAGTGTACAACCAATCTATTTTTCCTTAGGCAATCTGTGAGAGGTAAAAGCAGTCCTGTGTCAGAGCACTGAACATATTCAGAGTACCTTTCTAGATAGCTGATCTTCTGAAAAACTTTTTGCAAGAGGTCAGGCAAAGGAGTAGGTTAAGTAACTGCAGAGAAATTATACAATTAGCACTAGCTTCTTCTATTTTCAGTAAATAAAACCCAATGCTTTGGGTTTTATCGTTGATTATAACTATCCTAGAACAGCTTTCTTAGTGTGCAGTCAGCCATATGACATCCAAGACATCTGTAAAGCATAAGAATGAGATGTAGATCTGAGACCAGGCCTAACTACATCCTCCCAAAGTGCAAGTCATTCCTAAAAAAAAAAAAAAAGAATTATTTTACAGCATTAAAGACACTTCTGATGTAAGTCAATTGCTTTCCAGAGCTAAGAAAAGCTATAATGTCTTGGTTGAGTATGGTGTCGTCCCAAGCAATGTTTCAGTGAGGTTTGCAGAATACTTTTCTATAAATACCACTGCTTTTGTTTAAAGTAAACCAGATTAATCATTCAAATGATAACAGAAATGAAATGTATGCTTTATGCCACAATTTCACAATAATGTGAAAGTTGCATTTCTTTTTTATTTTTGGCTTTCATTTATGTTTCTTCTCTCAGCTGGTGACTGATGGTCCAGTCCCACCTGCTTTTGTGAACAAGGTTTCACTTGTGTCTTGAAGATAAAGGAAACACATGCCTTGAAATTTGTTAAGATGCTTCTGGATATGAATAAAAACACATGAAACACAGCTGCTGAAGTCATCAGAAGCCTTTTCTGTGATTCAGCAAGGTTGAATAAGGTCTAGGATTACACTTACTGCTATGTCTCAGGAACAGATGCTATTTCCATTTCACCAAGATTTTGGAATCAAATGCAGTGGGAAGAGATCAAAGTCAATGGGAAGACTTTTTCCTCCTAAAATATCAAGACCGCTTTGGTTTTCTCTCACAAGAAAAGCACTCAACATGCTCATACACATATCTTCAGCCTTTAGTTGTCTCCTGAGATAAATGCTTTCCTGAACAGCAGCCCCTTTCACATGGAAGTCAGTGATGATATTTCCTTTGACTTCAATAACAGTAGAGATAGAGCAACACTTAAAACTCACACTTAAAAGAGAAAAAATGTTGTTCATTAATAGAGGAGTGTGAGACACACTTTTCAAATAGAGATGAGAAACAGAAGGACTTCAACACTAAGGAAAAGGAAAGACATATCAAAGACATCCTTTTTCAAAAGGACTCACTTCATCAAAGTCATTTCCCAATTGAATAAACCCTGCATTACCAACTGAGCTTTAAAACAGCACTTACTGTTGTTCACTATCAGTAAAGTGCAGGTCCAACTTGAGCTGAAAGTCTGCCTCACTCAATGCATCTTCCACCTACAAAAGAGAAAGGCAAAGTTATCTTTATAAATTGGCACCTACAATAGTGAAGACAAAGGAGGATGATTTTTCCTAATAAATTGACTCACTGGTACCTTCAGTGAAATATTGGATTGGATTTTGTGAGACAGCACATGAGGACAGCTGTCAGTTCATTACACTAACCTGGAGAAGTCAACATTGGAAAACACTACCAGCTTGGCACAGCTGAAGTAACTATAACCTAAGGAAATAACTAAATTAGAGTGGAAGAGTGATTAAGCTGCCCAAAACTGTGTTTTATTCTTTTGGGATGTCTTTTCTTCCACAGCAATGTATGTTTAGTAGAATAAAAATAAAATAAAAAATTGTTACTATCAACATAAATGGAAATGTGAACAGAAAATCACTCAATTATCAAAATACTCCTTTTCTGTGAGTATAAGTATCCTTTGCTGTGCACCATAGTACACTGGAAAAATATGGGAACGTAGGTGGAAAAGCAGAATTGCACACTGGGGATCAAGTAGTACAGAGACATATTTTTACCCTAATTTAGGCACAAAAAAAGTAAGGTGAGACATCTAGATTCGGTCTTTTGTCAGGGGAAAGCAACAAGTACACACATGCAGTGAGATGACCCATTTTGAAGCTCACATCTACAAAGGATAATTGATTTGTTTGTGCCTGTCTCTTTCCATTGACAACAGATGGAGCATGGACAAATACCTTGCTCTTGATATATTCAAATTTTAAATGGCTTAAATTAGGAAAAATTGACTACTTTCTCCAGCACATTAGCACCTTCTTAATATAATATACGAAAAATATACTGAAGACAATGTCAGAGGCATCTAACCCACTCTAACAGGTAGGATCCACAAAATACATAGCTTAGAACATGTTTAGCTACATTTCCCAAAGCTGAAACTCCATCTGCAGTGTGCCTTTTTCTGTGGAAGCAAGAAAAATTAGAGCCAAGGACTGGCTGTACTTTGTTGAAAAAATCAATGTAAAATGTAGACCCTTCCAAAGTAATATGGTGTTTCTTCTAGCATGATCACAGGCACTGAGATGTGAGAAGAAAATTCCAGCCTCTGTTTACTGAAAATGTGCCTTCTCTTTTGTGTTTGTCTCAAAACATCTGGAAGTATGTCTTTCAGCAAAAAAAGACTTTTTCCTTTTTAATGAGCTGTTGTCACTAAAAATCACAGTTGCTGGCAGTTGCAAAAGAAATAATCATTATTGAAGCTACAGACTGAATTTAAACTAGGAATTAATCTCAAGTATAGAGCATCAGACAAAGCAAACCTCATCTGCCAACAGAGGGTTGAAATTTTGGGTCTGTGCCTAAGTACTGCTGAGCACCTGCAACTGTCACTGAAATTAGCTTGAGTTTAAACAAGTTCAATAGCTTCAGAGACAGAAGGCTAGTGACACTAGCCCAAAACAGGCTGAGGCAATGAACAGGTATCTGAGAGGTATTCACAGCTGCACAGGATCAAGCATTACTGTGCAACTGTACAATAGGGTATATTTAGTCCCACAAGTGGATTGAAATTAGACTTCACAGCACAGTGTAAGAACCCATATAAAATCATGTCACAGTTGTCACTAGAGAGATTGCATGTTTTTCTTCATATATAGGATGTGTTTATAATAAAGCAAGTGAAAACTGGACTGTGGTTCTATACTGGAATCTTCATGAGAAAATAGCATTGAAAGGTTTATGCATGAGTTGAGTATCTAAAGCTCTCCACAAACACAGCCTATCTAGAAGTTAATCCAACCCTCAGACATAACAGCTACATACAAAAACTACATGACACAAGTTAATATACAGCTTTGATTCTTGCTAGACTTCTCTGTGTTTTACTTTTCTTCACATATTAGAACCAAAGTATATAAGATCCTTTACAGGAGAGAAAATGAAATGGCCTTTCCATAACTCATACTGAAGAGACATTGAGATTTCTATCATTTATTTGTCAGTCTTCTGTATGCAATAATACTGTCCTTAAATGAAATATTGGTTGCTCCTTTATGCACTACTGGGACTATTATGGTGTTTTTCACAGTTATTTACAAATGGTAATTGACCAACAGTGTGATAGACAAACAGATTTTTTTTTTCCCTGAAGAAAAGATGTAAAGTTTTAAATGAACCTACTCAAGAAATCAGCTTGAAAACAAATCTCTGAAATATAATTCATGTTTGACTGTCTAAGCCAGGAAGTGGGCCTTCCAGAGAAGCTATGAAGGGTCTTCTGATGTTTTTTAAAAAGTTCAACTTCTCAGCAATAGTAATGATTGAAATCACAACTCATGAAAGAGGAGATAAAGATCTTTATTTGTAGAAATACATTCGTATGAAAGAAGGAATATTATTATTTTCCCTAATATTCCATATAACTAAATAAAAGTAAGGGAAATTCAGAACATCTGACCTCTGTGAAATGTTTCACATGCTGATCTTGTGTCCAGTCAAAAATGAAATAAGACAGTTCTGAAGAGAGATTTTGAAAGCTTTCTTTGAAATAACTACATGCATTTCCCCAGCCTCCCCTGCCCCCCCGCTAAATCAAGTAAGGCTGAAATAAATTAATTTTGTTCTTTCAGATTTGATTAATTCTTCCTTGTTTGCATAACTTTTATATTACTCTGTACTTTCTTGTAACACCATCTTGTGTCTTGTGGGAAGTTCCTCATCGTTGGGATGGGCCTATATTTCCCCCAGTGTTCCTACCTTGGCCCTTAGCTTGTGCCAAAAACACCATATTTGGCTGTGAGCACACAAAATTCTCCAGATAGCACTGTCCAGAAATCAGGCTGGTTTCTAGCCTCTGCCTCTCTCACCAACGGAAAGAACTGATAGGGAGATGCATTTTATTAAACACTGTTTGGAATCTGTTCAATAAAAAGTATTTGCATATAAAACTGCTGAACCAGTCTGGAATCAAAGGCTTCATTTCAGTTTTTATTTCTAAGTTTTCAGGTTTACGTTTACTTTTTTTTTGGTTTAGTTTCTAAGAGCTGCAATAAAAGTTGTAACTGAAGTTTCCAGCATCCTTGTGATGTACTACCATAATATTTAACAGTTTAGCCAGGATGTCAGACTGAATCATCTGGCTGTCCCATCTCACTTAAATTTCTCTGGAAAGTACAAAATCTAATATACCATTATATCCCAGCATGCCTCACCCTGTCCTCTCCCAGCTGCTAAATTGTCCCCAAATGGAGCCAGCAAGCAAGGAGACAAGTTACCTGTTTTACTGCTTGATGAAAAAGGCAGTGCTCCTTCTTTAATAGGAATGAAAGCAAAAGCTTATGAAAATAAATTAGACTTTGTAACACTAAAGGCTGCCTCAGCCCTGCAATATTGTTTCCTATGAATTCAAGGAATGCTGCATTCTGGGATAATACAGAAAAAGGCATCTAATAAATGTCAGAGTTTTAAAGAACCATTTATATGGTGAAAGGTATGCTCAGTGTGACTTCTAGATGGATAATTGAGGCTTCTTCCATATAACACCAAAAAAAAAAAAAAAAAAAAAAAAAAGACATTTCCATATTTAAGCTTATCAAGGGTTATACAGAAAAAAAAAAAAAATCTAATCTGAACATGCACACTGCAATTCTTTTTTTTTTTTCTTTTTTTCGTACTGAGCCTATCTCATCTACAGAACTATCCTAGCACCATGAGGATAAAGTATACTGCTCCCTTGATGTAATATTTGAATATGCCAGCTCTGGCAGCAGAAACTACAAGGAGCGTATAAACCCAACACTCCCATTACCCAACCTAACGGCCTTGCCCATTTACAGAGAAAGCAGCAAACATACTCATGCCTCTCAACCAAAAACGCCACCACAGAACACAACAGGCACACATAGGACTGGCATACTCTGTGTGTTAAATAAGTTAAGAAGTGATGAACAGAGACAATATTCAAAAGGCTTTGCTGAACTCAAGGTATTTCTCCAAAGCCCAGTTGCAGGAATTGCATCCGACATTATGTGATAGACATGCAATACCAGCTCTGAACAGTAGCTGAAAATATAATAGCTTTTATTCTGAGCAGGGTGCCCTGTTAAGTGACACAATTTGCTTTTCCCCATATTTATGATGATTTTTTACAGTCACAGAGGACAAGATATAACAGCAGAAAACAGAGAACTGGGAGCATTAATCATAAGTGAATTGTGCGAACCTGCTAAATGCAAGAAGTTTTATAAACCTTTAATTTTTGCATTTGACTCTTTTTAATACCTTCAGAAATGCATTTTGGGTGAACAAACCTGTTTATCCTCTTGTTCTACACCCTTGAAAAGCCAAAGCAACTTCATCACACAGAGATAATGGAGCTTTCCCTTTGTAAAACCGCTCTGTAAGTACAGAATTGGGCAGGTGTTCTTTTCCCAAGGAACCTCCTATATAAAGGTGTGATGGGCACAGTGCACAAGTCAGGACAAGTTTTAGCTGCAAGGAATATCATGGGATTATTTCTTTCATTTTGTGAGGTGCATAGCTTTCTGAATATTAATGCAAAAATCATCAGAAATCATCCCTGCTCAACACAGCGGAAACCGCTGTAATTTGAGGGGAGGGATATTTAATCAGAGATGTTCCACTGTGGAAGGATAAAATTAATATTCAATTAAGCATGTTGGAACATTTTTCTAACGAATATTAATAACCTTGCACTTAGTATTTTTTCCTATAAGCACAAAACAACAGTTCTAGGGAGGAATAAATTGATCAAACTGCATGTAAAAAAAAAAAAAAAAAGTGGGAGGGGAAGGGAAGCATGTGAAATTAGGTTCTCCAGCTGTTTCAATTTAGATCTAGATATAACCCAGGTATGTTTGGGTTGAAATAAGTCAAAACATAAATTTCAAATCTCTTCATGCTCAAATGTGAAGTTACAAAGTGAAGGACAGACAAGTATCTCTGGCCCCAAATCCAAGTTCAACGCATAGCATTTGATTCACACTGGCTGCACTAGTACTGATGTACTGGAGTATGCCAACAAGTTACTCCACTGGGAAGCCAGGGTGTGGACTACTCGTCATGATAGGTGCAGTGCATAGGGTCTGACCTAATGCAGATGTTTTCTGTGTTGGCATTCACATCTGAACAAATGACCTCATGCACCCTCATCAACAGAGATAATGATAAATACAGGATCTCCTTCTAAGGCAGATACTGATGAGAGGTCAGATAAGCCTTGCCATTACCTCCCTCAGTTAATATTGACCTGTGACAACACAGGAACCCCATGGTTACATCTCATATGGAAGTATGTGTGTGATGGACACCTAAAAGTTAGGTAAGAGGAATCCCAACCCTCCTGTTTTTTATGGGTATCCCAAGACAACTCACCCTTTCACCATCCAGAAGCAGGTGTACTCTGAAGTTCATTGTTTCATTAAGAATGATCTCTTCGTTCCTGTACAAAATCTGAAATATTCTGCTGTAAACGTTGTTTTCATGCACGCAGGCCGAGCAAAGGCTGGAATCACCTGCACAAAACACAGACAGACTACCAGTGTGATTTCTGCAGGGAGACTATTTTCTCTCCTACACTTTATGATTATCTAGGCCAGTTGTATTAGCACTTCTAATTAAACACTTGCATTATCAATAATTAATGTTAATGAAGCAGGTTGTTGTTGTGGATTGCAGGTTCCCAAGCATGGCACTTAAAGAAAACAGATGTTCATCCAACAGAAAAAGGTGCATGCTTTAGAATGAAACAGATTTTCACCTGAAGCCCACTGCTTATTAAATCTTCTGTCACTGACAGGAACAGAGCTTGGCTTGCCTAGCTGTACAAAACTACATTGTAGGCAACACTTACTACAATGAATTCCTTCCAGAGGAGTCTGCAATACCTGTGTGACCATTTAATGAGCAATTGGGTACCCGAGTGAGGTACTTTCAAATGGAGTCTTGGCTTTTAATCTGAATCACTTGCTAATTCTACTTCCATTGCCCCTGAGCAAAAACAACTTCCAAAATGTATTCAGAGCCAGCTTTACCTTTTTTTTTTCCAGCATTCAGCTCTGTAGTGACCTAAGCTTTTGAAATGTAATCCTTTAGCAAATGGCATTTTGGAACTCTCCTGATGAGGTGTGCTTAAAAAAGGTGTACTGGTATCAGTCCTTCAAAGAGAGACAGATCTGTGATCTTCATCAGGAAGCCAGCAAGTACATGATTTTTAAAAAGAATAACAGTTTTACAGGAGGTACTTCCGGGAATTTGGGTCTTTGCAGAATTGTTTTGAGCTCATGAGCTGGGGTAGGATAAAAGACCAGGTCAAGAAGTCTTGGGGACTGCTGGTTTGTCAAGAGCTTCAAATCAGGACAGGTCTGTTCTGCTGTGCTAAAGCTACTGCTGCATAACTTGTAGAGCTGCTGAATACATAACTTGCAATCAGAAGTTGGTGAGTTGATACTGACAAAGGACTAAAGATTTCCAGAGGGAACATTTATTTAGGATGGAAAAAAAAAGGGAGAGGATTTAAAAAAAAATAATAATAAAGTACTAAAGGTCCTGGGACAACAATTGTCATAATAATGAATTATAATGATTAGTTTTTGTGGCACCTGTCTGTTGGAACTGGAATAGTTCCAGACAAAGAAGCACCTTCTTGAAAAAAAAAAAAAAAAAAAAAAGAGGGGGAAGGAGGAGAACAAATGAGTTGATTAGAAAATGATAGTACTTGTGCTAATTAATTAGCAGGACCAGGACCATAGGTCTATCGATATAAACTACATTCAAATCATTTTCCTGTTACTGACTTTTACCAAGCACACCCAGGATCAGCCTGTGTTTCACTCTGCTGTTGTCTTCCCAGCTCATATCCTTCACAATAGCTCTGCATAAGTCCAGACAGCCTAGATAAATGCACATTTATTTCCTTGTGCTACACCCGTTAGGCTAGAACGTTTCAGCCTGATTAGCTCTTCAAAGCATGCAGTCATATTTATTTTAATTTAAATCTCATCATATTAGAGACACTGCAAAAATCATATTAGGGGTATAATGCATTCTTATTCCTATCTGGCAGACAAAGGGAGCTTTATGTTATTTGATTTGGATATTGATATACTGGTACTCTTCTAAGATGGAAAGTTTAATGTCATTTACTTTTCAAATGCACTCCTGCACAGACCACTGCTAGTGTGTAATTGCTTTAGGAGCTGGAGTTGCAAGGTGGCACAAAGAGTCATTTCTCTTGTTGGGAAGGTCGAAATCAAAGACAAGCTACTACGCTTAGGGATGTCTCAAATCCGTGCGTGTGGGTATACTACAGGGCCAAAAATTGCTTAGTTTTAAGAACACAGATATAGCTTTGCAGAGATCTGGCAGAGAACTGCAGCAGATGAGTGCCTGATCATCCCCTAAGCAAAACCCATCCCTGCCTGCTTCAACGGCCGCCGCCTGCTTCTCCACCTCCTGAAGGATGACATAAGGCTGTGGCAGGAGATCCCTCAGAGGAGTGCTCAGCAGCACGAAGACATCTCAGCAATGCTGACGGCAATGCAGGCGTCCTGCCCCTCAGAGCAGAGGGGATGACAACATCCCCGCAGACGCCGCTCGTCAGGCAGCAGGACTCACTCACGCACCCTGTGCTTTGTTGTGCAGGCAGCAAGCAGGCTGTGCCGCTCTGCTTCAGCTTCTTCCACTCACAAAGTGGTACCCATGCCAGACAGGCGCTTCTTTAGCCTGCTCCACAAAAACCTTGTCATCATCCTGGGAACTTTTACAGATTTCTCCTTTTTCCTGGGATGCCTTCTGACAGCCCTGTCTTTTGAAACCCACAAACTTGTCTGCTAGCAGACACCGTGGCAGGAAGGTTGGCGTTTGCATGGCTGACGTTCTTTAGAGCTGGTTGCTGGCAGAAGAAGTAGCAGATGTACACCTGTGCACACACACTCCTCTGGCACAAAGCATAGGGTGGCAGGAGAGCAAAGCTTCAAAGACTCCCCCTTTCTAGCAAAACCTCAGTTACCCCAACAGCTCTAGGATGTGCCTGCACTGCTCACCACTCATGTGCAGTCCAAGGAAGATGGATGTAGTGTGTGGAAACTGCCAGAGGTAAGACTGTATTGACCTGTGCTTTTGCTAAATTTCCTCATTAGGAGATGTATTTGTGACACTTCGAGTGTTTCTTAAGCTAGTCGTAAGCCTATTTCATTTAATGGTTATCTTCTTTGGGTCGAAAAAGCCTTCAAAACACCTGGAAAGAGCTCTCAGGGCTGTAGGAACCATCTTAAGCATGAAGAGGACAGCTGTCCTGCACTGCTGTTCATTTAAGGGAATGAGAAAAGTCTGTTGATGCATCTCCTTCTCTTTCTACTCCTTCCACAGGAAATATATTGCCATCCTAATACCACCCCTAGCAATCCCTTTGCAGACTTCTAAGTAATGGCATTTTAAAAAAGAAAGGAACTTAAAGTAAGGGCTATCTATGGTAGGCATGAAAAAGCCTGTATAAAACAAATTAGTTTTTCATAACATCTCAGAGTGTGTAAATATGGATGTTATAGGAAAGCAGAAGCAATGGATAGAAAAATCTGTTTTAACATCTTCCACAAAGAGCGCCAGGACATGAAGAACACAATCAGGAACCATAGTTCCCTACAGCGATATGTGAGATCAGATCAAATCTCACTTAACTATGTCTTTGCCTCCTAGGAGTAGGTACAATTTGACGTACTCTGTGGTTGTTGATAATGAAATCAACTTTTGTGCCTAACAAGCCCTTCTATTTGTGCCTCACAAGGGCAGAGCAGAGGGGGACAATCACCCCTCTCCCCTGCTGCCCACTCCTCTGTTGATGCAGCCCAGGATGCAGTTGGCCTTCTGGGTTTCAAGTGCACAGTGCTGGCTCATGTCAAATTTTTCATCTACCAGAACCCCCAAGTCCTTCTCCACAGGGCTGCTCTCAATGAGGTCTTCTCCCAGTGACATCAGCTGGTCTTCCCTTGACAACTGATGCAGTCGCCCCATCACAGAAAGCCACCAGATTGGTCAAGCACAACTTACCTTTGCTGAAACCATGCAGGCTGTCTCAGATCACCTCCTTGTCTGCAAGTGCCTTAACATTGCTTACAGGATGATCTATTCCATGATATTGCCAGGCCATAGGTGAGGCTCACTGGTCTGTAGTTCCCTGGGTCCTCCTTTCCCTCCTTTCCACCTTTTTTAATGATGGGAGTGATGCTTCCCTTTTCACTGGGGACTTCACCTGACTGTCATAAATTTTCAAATATGCTAGGGAGTGGCTTGCAACAATATCAGCCAGTTTTCTCAGGACCCTGAAATGCATGGTTTGTTGCATCCCTTGCCAAGTTCAGTTCCGTCTGTGCCTTGGCTTCCCTGATCTTATCCCTACACCTTCGGATAGCAGATGTTCATATGGGGAAAAGAAAATGTTACTGGGGAAAAATAGTTAAAGATCATGACAGTATTCTGCAAGTCAGAGCTGCTCTTTCAACCTTTCCAAGATCCTAGTGCATATACCAGATAGACTAACTCCAAAAACTTCACTGGCCAGTTATCCCAGCTGTCATCTCCAGCTATACCAACTCAGCCTTTCTAATCTCCTTCCTCTACTCCCATCATTTCTCTGTTATCTCCCTTCATTTAAATCTCCCTTATTCTAACCATCATGTACTCACTTTTTTATTATTATTATTATTTTTACCTCTCTAAAAATGGTTTGAGAGGCTTCAGAGCTGTTCTACAGCAACATTTCCTCGAGCGAACAAACATAAAACTCACCTTGGCAAAATCAACAATGGCAATGACACGTGCATATATCAACCTCTGATTTCTGTCAAGGACAGACTTTTAACTGGCAAGATCTTGGTGCAGCAGAGACTTGATGATGAATGATTCCCCCAGAGCCACTTAAGTCATGTGGATCTTTGCTATTTGCTAGCAATATGGTTGACCAGTTTTTAACTCCTCTACATTCTGTTTGGCATGTAAGTGATTAGCATGCTCCAATCTCAACAGCTAAATTATTTCCATAATTATATTTTCAATTGTTCTTCCTTCTGATGTCTATAACTGCCAAAGAATAAATAAATATTAAGCTACAAACCTTTTCATGGTAGTAGGCATCCCTGCCTGTGACCCAGATTTGTTTAGGAACTTAAGTATAATATGATCTTTAAGAAATGATAGAATCATAGCATGGTTTGGGCTGGAAGGGACTTTAAAGATCATCTAACTCCAAACCCCGTGCCATAGGCAGGGATGCCAAAATATTGGAGTTCCGTTTGTATTTAGTACATCAAGGCTTAAAAACAAATAAATGCCTAACCACACAGCTCCTAACTCAAATTCTTGCACTAAGTGATGATATAAGGGTACCTTCAAAGCCGTGGGAGCTGAGGCTAAAAGACAGTATATTTTAGACAGTTTTTGAATAAAAACCAACTATTAGAAAGGAAACAGTTCTTACTCATAATGCTACAGAGACCATACACAGCTCAGATGATCATCA